ATACTGGACTCCGCCTCTACAACCCAAACTCTAAAAATCAAAGAAGCCTTGCATATTCAGTGGGAGCAGCCCTCACTGAACAAACAGCTTTTTCATGTTAATTTATCTTTGTCATTCTAAATTCATTCCATTTTCCCCTTAGTGGCATTTAAAATACTGCACTCTGATCTTATCTTATCTTTATTTATATTTTGCTTTGTAGTACTGTTACGGTTCATTCCACAAATTTTTTAGCTTGCATACATTGAATTTTTACTCCCCTATATCAATAATTGCCTGCGTGCAATAGATAACTGACGATGGTAGTGGACTGCCGAAACATGTCTTATTGGGGCCGTTAAGGCCATAACTTAATGGATTTAATACAGGCTTTGCCTATGATGAAGATACGATCTGTTGTGTTGTTTTTGAAATTTATTAGCTGTCTGCTGTTCAATCGTTCTTTTGGCAATATTATTCACAACTTTGCGGACAAATATGAAGGGGAACTCTCGATCTGTGTTCTTCGCAAGCTTAAAAAAACAGCTATAAAATCTATAAAGGCTGAGTTGGATATCAATTTTTTGAAGAACTGTAAGCTTTTCAATGTGTTTCCTAAGTTCATTTGTTTTCCGTTACCTAACACATGTCATGATGATGTGATTACTATACGTAGACGCCTTCTGCGGACTCAGGGAAGAGTATTAAATCAGCATCACACTATATGGAGATATTGAAGTTGCATGTGGAGGGGGGCTCACAATCATAGATTATCTGTCATAATGTAGATTTTGATCCAAAGATGATAGTAATAAAAATAGTAATTAGATGTGTATAAGAGACAGTATATATATATATATATATATTTATATTTATATTTATATATTAAATCTATAAACAAATCCCTTACTATATCGGAAATTATAACAAAACACACACGTAACGAGGTAATCAACATAATTTTTGATAAACAAAAATGCAACAAAAATGGTCGGAAAGTTACCATTTATAAATTTTAAATGGCCGGCTATATGGAAAAACCTAAAATAATCCCAGGGTATTTAGTGCTAACTGGAAAAAGCTACACTTTATTTATTCTTTATAACCTTTGCCTTCTATGTAAGGAAAGGAATAAAATTGAAACTATTTTCATTTTTTATATGACTGCCCTATTATGAAACACATTTAAGATGAAGTTACACAACTTGAATGGCTAAATAGTGGGTTAGTTATTACGTTAGAAATAAGTGAAGTACTCTTGGATACCGGTAAAAGACCAACGAAAAAGGTTTTAATTATCTTAATAGATATATTATGGCTAAACACTCAATCGGTAGATAAAGATGTGGAAAACACCACCGTCTCCTCTCTGTTTTCAAAACTCATCTACGCCTGAGATGTAAATATTATAGGTATAAACTGACATTGGCGTGAATTTATGTAGGCCAATATGAAATTGATGAATACAATTTGTTTGCAACAATTTGATTTGGAGAGAAATCAACAGAACATTTTTGATGGAACAACTGAAACGACCGCGGCATAATATGCCTCTTTTTACGCTTTTTAGTCAGGCCTTGAAAGTAAAAGCTTGTAAAAATAATAGTTAATGGTGACAAACACGTCAACTTTAGGAGACTGTTTGTCTCCTTAAATAAGAACTTTAATGGCAAAAAAAAAACGTGAATTCGTAACAAATGTTCTATTTTATTAAATAAATCAACAATTCGTTTCGGAAACAAGTAGGCCTATAATAATATTTTTAAAAAACCTAAAAAGGAATATCATTCTAACACTATAAATTCTTGCAAATAAAAAAAATAGTGATTTGATGAGAGACAAATGCAGTCTAATGGAATTTGATCAATTCAGTCGGGTGTACAATTTTCACACTACGCTTAAATTACTAAGATACGGAGTAAGCGGTAACGAATGCAACTCCAATCAAAATTGTGTCCAAGTGAGAAGACCAATATTGAAAATACAAAATTAAATTGAAAGATATATTTGCTATACCATGTGTATAATGGATTTAATAATACAGGATTTACAATACAATCTATTTACAAGGGATAATTATCCGACAAATATATTCTTTGCCTTCATTGGTACAAATGAATATGAACAAATAATGGAAATGTTCTATGGTTGCATCCCTGTATTTTCAATGTGGTTAGATCTACATCACTGTATCAAAAATAGGTGTATAGCAAAATGTATTTCTGGGATTTGTTGAGCCGTTTGAATGTGTCTAACCACACTATAATTAATCAGTAAACAATATATTTAAACTTAATATAGATTAAAAAACATACCTATTATTATTTGCTTGATACGTGTTATCAAAGTCAAATACAAAATTTAAAAATATATTTAAAAGAACAAAAAAAATCATCACTAATTTTTTTGTCTAAGAATTTAACATATCTACATAAATACAAAATGTATTATTTTTTTGGTATTTAGGTGACATTATATTCTTTTTGTAAATTTTTTTGTGTTTTTTCATGTGGTGAAATATGAATAACAAAGTTAAAACTAAAGGAGAGTAACCAAACCACAATTTGCGACAGGGCTTCTTTTTACAGCACGCCTTTCCATTATTGGATTTCTTGCTTTCTTTTTAAATATCTGTTCTTTTTTTCTTTTTTTTAAAAAAAATTTAATGACCGATTGTCAATTAAATGTAAGATTTATCTCTTTCAGAGCAGCCAACTGTGGAAAATAAATTAATATTTTGGAAATAAGTTTATCATGTGTAGTTATCTGCTCAACCTCTAACTGGTGGTCATCATTTTGGTACAGGAAAGTGGAATCTTTAAACGCGAAAAATTTATCGTTCTTAAATATGATGCATTTTAAAAACATCAGAGATGAGCAATTGTGAGCCCCTGGAATGGTGTACATTGCCGTCATTACCGGTTGCACGTCCGTCAACTCACAGGGAGTGGTCTGCATAACGAGATATTCCTGCCAAGCTTTGCTATCAATGTTGACAGGAAACTCGTACCTTTTATCGGTTTTATGCATTCGTGTTATTGCATCACCATTACGTTTAAACTTGAAATAAAGAAACCCAACGTGATAAACGGGAGATTCAATCTCAAGATTCAACGGTATTGGATCCCATGTTGGGTATCCTATACCGACATCTGCTACATGTAAATCACCCTCTTTATTAAGATCACGCACCAACGTACCCAGATAATTGTTTTTAGATTTTAATATTGAACACTCGTTGTGGTAGACATCATAACTAATCTTTTCCAGAAAGACTCTCATGAATAAATTAACCGAATAACAACGGCCACCTCTCTTTCTGAATAAATCCTCTTTAATTTCATTGAAGGTTGGTAGGCGGTGGTCTTCTGGCTTAGTGCTTAAGCTAACTATGCTTTGATATGGCTGAACGTGCAGAAATCCGTAAAGTATTTCCTGAGTAGTTTCTCTCTGTTGTGTTTAAATTTTGTTTCCGCGTTTTCAATGCAAAGGACTTCCTCTAGAAATGTTCTTACTTCAACATCTGATAGATTTAACATTTTCCTGAAAGAAATTAGAATTCATAAAGTAAGAAACACCAAATGATTTTTCAAGATATCGTCCGTTTGATAACGGAATGCGTACATTGTCACATTGTCGATGGTGCAGACAGGACTTTGCAAGGTTAG